GCAACCCTTTCCCTTGTTTAGCCATATTTGATGCTTCATTTGGCAATTCGTCAGCTTCAGCGATCACAAAATAATCAGCACTTTCAAAAAAACGCCTACATGTCAGGAATTGTGGTCAGGCATTAGATTTTTTGGCCTGTTTCTATGGATCTAAAGCATTCTTTAGGTTGTGAACTAAGCTGTGGAAATTCGTCTATCTTGTATAACTCAAGGCTGATCTTTACTCCTTTGGAGTGAGTGGACTGACTAGGTAGGGGCATTTTTCAATAGTTTTATTGTGATAGGGGCATGGCGACTAGAAATTACACGTGCTCAGAGAAAATTTCTCCATCGGGGTTTGTTTACTTCTGTTCTGTCACAAAAGTCGAGTTTACTAAACGCCTCTCGCCTGAACGGTGTAGTCGAACAAACATGCATTACATAGCCCCTCTTCTTTCTCAGCACCAACCCCTGCGGGTAATCGCCGTATGCCAGTTTCAGTGGTCTTCTTTCTTCCGCTGGTAAGTAAACTTCAATTTTCGCACATAACCAAAGGTCCACCTTTGTACTACATACATTATTTTGATGAGTAGTGGTTGGTTTTTTTACGAAGCTGTGCATTGCACACCAGGTACTTTGTTGGTGAGGTGACTACTATCCCCCGAAATGCATCTTTGCTCCCCATATGGTGATTAAACTCACTGTGTGCTCCAGGTAAAGAGATCAACCTGCCTAAATATACTTGTTCCTCCCTCAGTAGGCGTTAATCCAACTGTCTAATATGTGACAGTCATTAGTGTTCACGTGCGATGTTAAAGATTGCCCTGCCCCATCTTTGAGTACCAGTATGCAATCCGGGATATTGTGGGTCGTTCCTTCCCTATTTGTTAGATAAATACTGGTTGGTACTCTCGGACCACGAAATGTGAGTATCGTGTATGGTGAAATGCCAGCGGCTGTAGCCCACACTTACGTAAGGCGGCACCGTTCACTGCTTAAACACCACTCATCGGACTATGCATCCCTAGAGAAAGCCTTCATTAGTCTAGCCAGTGTGCTATTCAGTCTTTCCATCTGTCTACTATCTAGGGCATATCCAGGTGTCATGCATATTTTGAAAAGCACAATTTTCTTGCATTGTTCGCAAAGGGGTCGACTTTCAAAATCAGCGCCTTGATAGCTATTCCAAGGTTGAATTAGCCGTAGAACCAGTGAACCGCTCCACCCAAACCATAAAAGAGGCATTCTCGTCTATTTCGAAAGAGGCCCCATTAGGTAATGTACTGAAGAATGCAAAGGACCTTAGAGCTATAAACTGTTATCTTTGAAGGTTAGTAGTCTATGCATACTGGCTTTGCAGTGACTGTAGATGTACACAGGCAAGGGTGTGTAGCAGAACTAAATGAACCGCAAAGAGTTACGCCGAAAGCCTGCTTTCAACTTAAGAGAAAAACATTTTCTGGATTGCGTTACAATCAAACATTTGACTAACCGTCTATAGGGAACAAAACCCAAGTTTGAATGACAATAACTTCACATTCTGGATTAAAATCACAACCATATGATCATATACATTTTGTCTAACAGTATTGTGTAGACCATGAAGGAAAATTCGCTTCAGAGGGTAGGAAACAACTTTAAGATGAACAAACAAAATTTCTACGCCACAATTCAGCTTGTTATCCTCGAACTACAGCCATTTCACTCTAAAGGCGAATGTCTTTGTGCATGAAATTATTTCTGCAGAATTAAAAATAATTTATTTCCATTTAATTTTAAATGAAATACTTTCCAAAGAGGTTTGGTTATGAACCTAAAAGAAAATATCCTACGAGGCTGAAAGTGGCCTCATGAAAGCCGTCTAACTTATACTCCAAGGAACGAGAAAGTAAGAGGTAAACAGGGATGTGTATTTTAGCGAAAGTAGACAAAACAAGGCTAGGCGATAGTGATTTTTCAACTATTAGGTACAACACTATTCCCACACCTGGCGGGACCATGCTAATAATGCCTTGAACCTGGATGCAACTTTGTGTGGAACTAACATCGGTGTATAATTCGTAGGCGGAATTGTATTCAAATAACAACGCAACCAAGAAACCCAAACCAACTCATTTTCGGTGAAAAACAGTCGATACGTGAATTTCTCAGGAAACCTTTTGATCAGAGTCATGAAATACAACTCCCTGGTAGGTCTAAAGAGGCTTTCCAAAGGTAGACTGGGATTTGGGTGCAAAGGAACCAATATTAAAAGCTCAAAATAATGAGTTTTATTTAACAATTTTCAGTTTTGTTAAACTTTTAAGATTACAAAATCGCAGCCGTAAAAGGGAGGTCGGAATTGGTTTCAAACAAGCTGAGGAGTTGATGAATGATTCTGTCCATTTTATTTGTTATTGAGTATCGATGAGTGCCAAATTTCGAAGTGAATCTCTGGAGTACTTAAAGCATCCAAATAATGGTGAAATGGGCTGCACGCAAGGTGTCACGACCTCAAAGAATGTGACCAGCGTAACGACTAGGGAATTTAATATCTATGATGGAGCATCCACTGACACGTCGAGACTTTCGCGTGTCAAGATTAGCGAAAAAGTCCGTATGGCTTATCTTAAATGATTGCACAATCGCAGTTGTGCTTACACCTCCTTTTCGGATAAAAGTCGGAAAACATGAGCCCCTCGTCTAACGTAGGTGGATGTATTGATACCAACTTGTACCTATATTGTATTTTCAGTATGTTTGGCTTCTAACATGAAATTGGTGCTATCTGTGGTTGAATCGAGATTTTTTTGACAGGTATAAAACCCCTCGTACATTTGGCGTTTTATAAGCCTTGATATTATTTGGATGGGATGCTCGTGTTTAATCAAGTTATTTTATTTGCCACCTAAACCCGCATTTCCATTTAAGAAAATAATTCCGGGATCTCATTGCAAATCGTGCTTTTCTAATGATTCTAAGAGTGTCTATACATATTGTGATTGACTCAACTGCTTGCAAGAAATCAGGAAATGCAGTTCAGGGAAAGGTTTCTTCTAAATGTACACTCTGCAAAGTGTTTTACAGTAGTGCATCGGTGGTACGGCACATACAAGAGAAGCTGATCCAAAGAAGCGATGATGCTATGTAGTGCTTACTAAAGCAAGTGCGCTTCACATTTAATCTCGCTTCACGCTATGGGGTATTCCAAAGGAGTGTCTGCTGCCGCAAAACGGATATATCATCCTACTGCAAATCTGGCACCAATTCACCACTCACCTCCGCTTGGTTCTGACTTCTCAGCCGATGAAGGACGAGCGTTGCAATGTCCAATTAGACCCAAAATTCACAAATATTTGGCTAACCAACCACTGAGAGTTTGTGATTAGCTGAAGGCAATGTACATTGCCTAAATGCTAATAGAAGTACAAAATACACTATATTTGGGACTCAAAATCAAGTTTTATTGAATCAAAGTAACAGCAAAGCAACGTTGTTTCGCATTGGCAGTTCGACGAATAGTTGAACAAACAAATGGATGTAAGGTAAACATTGATCGTCGTTTTGTGGATAGCAGCAACAATATCACAGTAGTGATGCTTCCCATCAGCAATTACAAGTGCAAGGATGCCTATTGACTCGTCTCTTGACCATCAGTGTGGTGCTGCCACAGCAATCTGCACACCACTTCATCGCTCCTCACTCTTTGCATTCCCCACCAATTCTCATGCTCTCAATTCGAAACACTTCTAGGGTGTACGACAAGAATCTACACTCCATCACAATAGTATGGAGGGCTCGTGAACATGCGCAGCGTATAGTAGTGTGACTACTACAATTGGCAGAAATATACGTACCGAAAATGCACATCTACATATAACCTATGTCCATCACTGCAGCAAATGAGGTCTGAAAAGCCATTTCGAGCATGAGCGTCTGTATTTTGGCAAATGTTGCAAGCAAATGCCCAATACATCTGTTCCGTCAATTTAGAATGTGACTTCCTTTTCCTTTCCTTCGGCTTTGAATGTGACTTTGTTTGGACCACCATGAATAGGCGAAGTGGCCCCATTTTTCTTCACCAAACAGCTCGAAGTGCGTGTTCAAATGTCTGCTTCAATCTACCACAACCCATTATTGGCATTCATCAATGAATTTACAACCACGCCTACGTAGCTTTATTTTG